GAATATACTAATTTAGCTCGTAGCTACTAAACACCTCATGATTACTTGCAACTTCATTCAACATCTAGCAATTTATATTCAACATCTAGCAATTTATAATTGTCAAGAGGTTTAGTAAGTTAAACTTTAAAAAAAAAAGTTTTTAAAGTGAAATAAGACAAATATACATAAAAATGAAACGAAACACCTATTTTGAAGGTATGATTCTTCCCAGCTTTATTATTTTTCCGCTTAAAACTTAGAAAATCGAAGAGTGTTTATGAAAATAATATACATATATAGTGTACTGTACTGAAGATAATTTAGTACTGTATTTTATAAAATTTCAAAATGATACAGTACAGTACGAAAAATACATATATATATAGCTCTATATAAAAAGATAATTTAGTGCTGTACTGTATAAAATTTTGGAATAGTACAGTACAGTACATCGCTTATAATAGTGCAACGATTAGAGTCTGATCGCTACCCATGTTACAGAATTAATTATACAAATTTAATAAACTATCATTATTATTACATTATTATGTAATTTTTATTTTTACGAATTTAGTCAAATGTTGATTTGTAATACATTCTCTTCTTGTATGTACATATGAACTAACTAAAATGGCATATCAAATTAGTATCGATTTAGATTCTAACGATAAGTGGGATAATTTGTTCGATACAAATCAACGTGTTAATAATTTTGATAGTGACCAGGAATTTAGCAATGAACAGGATTTTGATAACGACCAGAATTTCAGCAACGAACAGGGTTTTGATAATGAAAAGGGTTCTAATAACAGACAGGGTTTTGATAACAAACAGGATTCTAGCAATAAACAGAATTCTGATGACAAATGGGACTCAGATTTTTTGAGCAAAAGCATTCAAGATCCAGAAAATCCATCTACTGTATTAATTTTATTTTTATAAAAAAAAAATATAAAATAAAATTTTATATTAATATATATTACTACTATGTTATTATTTGATATTTGATATAGTGGAATTTCAATAAATATTCCATATTAGATGCTGAAGTTATGTATGATATTGGAGAGATCAAAGAGGTATAATACTTATATAAAATTATAAAATTTTAATTATAATAAATTAAAATTTTATTATTATTATAGCCGCAATTAATCAAGTTGGGTAAAGCCAATATTGAAATTGTAACAAAAGTTAAATATCATCTTGAATTTGAAGAATATTCAGAAACTTCTGAGAGTGGTGTTGCCTGTATTTACAATGTAACTGGCATAGATCTTAATAAAGTACTTGAAATTTTTGACCTAAAGAATATCCAATATTCATACAAAGATGGAACTACTCGTGAAAGTGTTTATTGTCCTTTTTTAAAAACAAAGGTTTATAAAGAGATAAGAACCTGTCGTAGTATTAAAATGTGTCAATTTGCCGCACCTGAATTAGCAACTATGACACATACAACTGTGAATTTTGATGATAATCTTTTTAAAAAAATATTTGATGTGAATGAATTATCTTTAGATACAAATACTTTAAAGTTGGTTTTATATATTTATTATCATATTTTTATTTCTTATAATGCAAATACTAAAAATTATTATTACATATAAGTGCATTTGCCATAGTACATAAAACTCCATGTAGATTTATTCATTTAAGTACTAGAATTCGATGTGATGGTAAACCAAAGCTTGAAAAACATTATCAGGTTTTGTAAAATTATATTTAATAGATTAATTTTATTACTTTATTAATAAAAAGTATATTTAATTTATAGCATAGAGATGATACTTTGGAGCCTACTTATTTTATTGGCTGTGAAAAATTTAAGAATAGTGAACGCGGTTATAGATATCAAAGTTTGTCTGGACAAATTAATATTAATTATTTAAAAAGACTTTTTCAAGAATATACATACTATAATAATAGAATTACAGGAGAGATATTTATTTTAATTTAATAATTATTTAATTATTTATTAATAAATAAAAAATCAAAATATTTTATTTAGGAAAACTCTTTCCGTCTATCACCTGTATACAAATTTTTCCAGCTTAATTATTTTAAAAATATCTTATATCTTTATTTTCTACTAAGTTAACCTTAGTTTTGCTAC